GTACTAGCGCGATCCAAGGAGATTTGAAGGCTCTAACTCGTGAGGTCATAATGACTGTCATTATATTAATGTTGATGGCAACTTTGTGGTAAAGTGTGGGCGATGATTGGTCATGCATTAAATGCGATATGACTTTTGATAAAGTTGACATGTCATTCTATTGTTCAAAATGCTCAGTGTTAGATCTAAGTGGTGAATGCTTTTCATCTTGGATTTGGGCTTTTAGCAAATCCTAGGTCGAATATGCCTTTCATCTTAGACTTGGTCATGAGATAGGTCAGCTGACTCCGCACCTAGGTCATGCTTGTAGGCGTTAAAAATTACCTATAGGTTCCCACACGTAGTTCGAAATGAAACAAATTCTAGAAACGCCATCATGAGATTATCCGATACTAAGACGAAACAATGAAATGCATAAAGCGAGCCAGTGAAATGTACAAACCCGTGAAATGACAGAACAAGACCAAAACAAGACATAGTCGCTTGTAATCGCATCAAAGCGAGTCGCCGGTGTGCGAGTTACATCAAAGTGACCCACACTCATGCGGGCCACGTTGAAGTGACCTACTTCCGTGCGGGTCACCTTAATGTCACCCGCACACCCGCGAGTCACATTGAACTGACTCGCACCCTGGTTCCTAAAAATACGTATTTCGATGTTTTCTCAAAATTTGTTTGTTCTAGAGCCTCCCAACTACTTGGATATCATCCCTAAATATGGTTAGGCTATAATTAACTAAAGATGAGGCCAAATCACTTGTCCTTATCTAAAAACACTGTAACTGAAGCCTATAAATACATGCCTATGGTCCTATACGTAGGGGATCTAAAATTCAAAAAAAAGGCGAGGTGTTATTGGTTTGGATAGTGAATCCCATGAATTTTAGAGGGGTGTAGGCGTCAAAAATTACCTATAGAGTATTACACATAGCTCAAGCTGAAGAGAAGGCGATAAACATCATTATCTAAGTTATAAAGGATCATCCAAAGCCAAAGATCAACTAGGGAACGTACAAAAAGCGCATCACACAAGTTTCAAGGTATAAAACATATCTCAGAAACTATGAGAAGACTCATAGTTTCCGAGACAGCTGCGGCTGTCTCAGAAACTATGAAGGCAAATCATAGTTTTCGAGACACTCGCGTCTGTCTCGGAAGCTATGAAGACAAAATGTAGTTTTTGTGACACTTGCGACTGTCTCGAAAGCTAAAATGGACTTGGCGATAGTTTTCTCGAGTTTTGTATGGTCCACGTGGCTTCATAACTACTGGGAATCATCCATGAACGTGAAGAACCGTTCCAAGCAAAAATTACACCCATAACTGCTGGAATAATAGCATTAAGGCGTAGTGGAAGCAGTTACAAAACTGCCAGAATTGAGTACTGTTTCCAAGACAGCCGTGTAGGCATCAAAAAATACCTATAAATTCCCACAAATAGTTTGAGACCAAACGAAGACAATGGGCGTCATCATCCAAATTAAGGAAGATTATCCGAACTAAAGAGGATCATCCGATGCCAAAGAGAAGCTAATGAGCACACGAAGCGAGCCCACGAAGCATACAAGTCAGCAGAACGACAATACAAGTTCGGAAAATGCCAAAAAACCAAAGGAGACTCGCACACACGGGTCACCCTATAGTGACCCGCATAGGTGCGAGTCACCAATTGGTGACCCGCATGCGTGCGGCTCACTAGTTGGCGACCCACACGAGTGCGGGTCACTAGTTGGTGACCCGTACGAGTGCGGGTCACCAAGAGGTGACCTGCACGAGTGCGGGTCACTAAGAGCCGTCTCGCACAGTTAATTCCCGAAACACATTTTTGACAGGTTTGTTGATATTTTTCGGGATTTGTTCGTTTCAGAGTATCCCAACTGACTTGAGATCATATCCAAATATGGTTAGGTCATTGTTAACTGAATATATGGCCAAATCCTTCATTCTCATCCAAATAACCGCATCCAAGACCCTATAAATACAAGCATAGGGCCCTCATTTTTCGGGGTTGGAATTTTATCAAAGAGGAGGAAGTGCTGCCGAATTAGAGAGTGCATTCAACAAAATTTCGAAGAGGGTTAGCTAGATCCCACTGACCTTCGGCATAAAGAAGGAGTAATTCGAAGGATCTGAAGTCATTTTCCATCTTTCCTTGAGATCAAGCTTAGACTTATCTCGAGAAGAGTAGTCATCTCGCTTGGTCAAGATCATTTACTCTAGCAATTACTTCCTTGGTGAAGTAAGAGCTTTAACCAATCTTCTGTCAACCAGATCTGATCCGAGGTAGTCCACGGATAAACCCCGGCACCGATAAAGATCCCACTCAAATAATAGGTGATAAATATCTATTGTGTGTAGTTTAAAAGAAAGTTGTAATAAATTTTCATTGTGTAAAAGTCTTATAAAAAGACTATTTCTTTTGAATTTATTGTAACGCCCAAAGTGTAATGAATTTATTAATGAGAACAACTTTCAGCCTAAACACGTTGGCAACAATAGTGGGAGCCAACAACCACTCTACCGAGGCTATAGTGTCGCAACCTCGGATTCGCATCCCGATTGAAGAAGAGTTCAATCAATAGAAGTACGAGGAATACATATCCTCCTTCTCCAGATCCGGCTCTCCTGTAAGTGTAGGAAGGTCTCCTCCTCCAGGAAGGTCCGCTGGTCTTCAGATTTGAAGATCCAAGAAGATGATCCATGCCCCGTAGCTGCTGCAGTTATGTTCGGCAACGCCCCTCCGGCGTCCGATGAAGCCGAAGTTGCAGATCTGAACTCCTCAACCAAGGAGATAGCTATCGGAGACGTGTTAACTTTGTCAAGTACACGCGAATTATATGCATCAACCCCTGGAGCATCTACACCCTTCGGCTACGTCATGACCTTTCGAGACTTGGGGAATGGATATTGTTGGTCCTATTTTTCCTCCGTCAACCAAAGGTGACAGATTCATCCTGGCGATTACCGATTACTTCTCCAAATGGGCTAAAGCAATTCTGCTCAAAGAAGTGAAGACGAGCAACATCATCGCATTCATCAAGCACCATATCATCTACCGATATGGTGTCCCAAGACGTATCATACATGACAAAGGTCCTCAGTTTGTCAGCAATACCTTCATCAAGTTTTACGAGAAGTTCAAAATTCAAGATGTCTCGTCGACAGCTTATAATTCCACAGTGAACGGGTTGGCTGAAGCCTTTAACTAGACTATCATAAAGCTTTTGTCAAAACTCGTGAAGACTAATAAACGAGATTAGGATGATAAACTCGGTGGAGCTCTATGGGCCTATCGCACTACAGTTCGCACGCCTACTGGAGCGATCCCGTATTCTCTGGTATACGGGTGTGAAGTTGTTCTCTCCTTGAAAATTCAAATTTCATCTCTTTGGGTCACTCTTATAACAGAGATGATGATAGAGGAACAACATCAGAAACGTCTTGAAGAACTTAAAGTGCTTGACGATAAGCGCTTAGAAGCTCAACAGCACATTGAATTCTACCAGCCAGAATTTCCCAAGCTTTTGATAAGAAGGTCTGACAATGAAGTTTTAAGGAAGGAGACTTGGTTTTAGCCATCCGACGGCCAATGATCCTTAATTCTAAGAAGAAAGAAAAGTTTGAACCCAAATGGGAAGGATCTTTTGTGGTAGAGATAGTCTACTCAAATGGCGCATATCGCCTCATTACCCAAGATGGCGCCCGGCTTATGATGCCGATAAATGAAAAGTTCATAAAAAAGTACTATCCTTAGTATAATCAGGATAACCCATCTAACGGAAAATTCCCGGAAGAATACTAAGTGCGGTATTCTTAGGGATAACCCGATCACTACAAAAGTGATAAATAAGAAATCCTCAAGGTTGAAACATATCTCGCTGCTGAGATCAATTTCACCAACTCCCATGTATATGTTGTTGAGATGAGATTCGATCACACCACAAATCAATATTTCCTCGCGAAACCCCCACTGGTGTTTGATAATTCATAATCTTCTACCACAAGGTCCCCCACTAATCAAATCAATTGACGGTGGGCCTACCAAAATTCTTATCGGTTAAATCCGTTTAAACTTTCACCGTGTTTGTGTACTTAACACTCACATTGTTAAAGTCCTAACACGAGATTCTATCCGCCAATCTTTGGCAATTTTCAAACTTTTCGTGTTAAGTACTTGTCGCTTAATACCGGAATCCCCCATCAAGTGGCTAGTACGAGTCATCATTCTCACTGTTATTTGTACTCCACTCCCATTGCTTGCTTGGTCAAACCTATAAAAGTTAGGGCCAAAATCAAAATCTCCTCTCGTTCATGGTCCACGAACAAGAGGTCCACTTTTAAATTGAGCGATCAAACCTATAAAAGTTAGGGTCGAGGTCTAAATTTCACCTCGATAAATGAGAAACTTTTTTTTAGATTAAGTAACCAATCCTATAAAAGTTAGGGTTACTTCAATCTTCCCGATTCTCAGAGTGGAGATCCTACTTTGAGTTTCCTTTACAACTGGAGATAGAATATAAAATTTTTCCTCTTTAGTTTTGGGAGATAGAATATAAAAATTTTTCCCTCCCACTTTGAGTTCGTCTTTACCCTAAAAGAAAACCTGAAGATAGCATATAAAATTCTTCCTCTCCAGCATCGGGTTTGCCTTCACCCCAAGAAAAGACACAATTCTCAACACCAAATCCTTGTCTTATACGCACGGGGAATTTTATCCTGAATCCTAAGTAGAGATAAGTCAACCTAACACACGTTGTCGGTTTAGTCTTTCGCTGAGTAAAAAAGACACCAGAATCCAAGTCTAGGGAATTTTATCCCAAAGCCTAAGTAGGGATAAGTTAGCGTGTAACACACGCTGGCAGTTAGTCTTTTACCGTGAAAAAGATGACAGTCCACGTATTCAACATCGTGGCAGGCTGTTATTAATAACGCCAAAATCCTTGTCTTACACGCATGGGGAATTTTACCCTAACTTCTAAATAGAGATAAGTCTATGCCTAATACGCATTGCCAGGTAGTATATTCCCGCAAAAATTGCTAAGTCTAAAAGAATTTATTCTTTTAGCATAATGTTATGTGTGAAGCGGACTTATATAATTCACATGCTAGCCTAATTCAAACGGTAATCGGTAAAAGTACATCAAATGTGTTGATAACTGAGAGTTTCCCAAAAATTCTATAAATATTATGGTTGATTATCCAAAATAGAATAAGAAATTATAATAAAAGAGATATAATAAAAAAAGAAAATATCTTCTATTAATAAGAATTGAGTTTGTAGATACAAGAATGAAGCAATCAGTCTACATTGAGCTTATGACTACGGACCTACTGTTCTAATTTAAACAACTCCTCCGCATAGGCTTGTTCGAGCTCGCTCTGAAGCGTGACCTTCATTGACTCTTCATCACCAGCCAATACTTTCGCGGCTTCTGCTTTCATAATGACCACCTTCTCTTTGGAGAGTGCCAATTGCCTGGACATTACTTCTCGAGCGTGCTCTGCGTGGACCTTCGTCATCTTCAAAGCAGCTTGAGCATCCTTCGTTGCTTTAAGCTCCAAGTCAAGTTGCACTATTGTGGCTTTGCTTGACGCAAGAGAAGAATCGATGTTGCGAAGGGCAGTTGATTTATCAGTAAAAGTTGCTTCTATTTGATGAACAAGACCCACTTCTTCCCGAATCTTGGAATCATCAAATGCTTGAGCTTCGCGCCATGCTTGCAACCTGGCTTCCATCTAAGCAGCCACGTATGAAGAGACACCAACAGTTTGGAATTCATTCATCTTTTCAAGCTCACGCTCGAGATGATCCAAGTCTACAGTAATAGCATCTGCCAGATCTAAATATCCTTGACTCCTCAGGAATGTCACTTGATGATCAAGATATGACTCGAAGAGATCAATAGAAAGCCCGCTGTGGAGAAGATTGTCAACTATCTCGTTCACGAATGAGAAGAAAGAACAAACTTCCATGTGGAGCAGGATTTTATCTGGGTCATTATTGGATAGCAGCGCCTTGACAAGATCATAAAGCTTGAAAGCCCTATAAAGAAAAGAAAAGTGAATATTTAGGAATATTGGTCTGAATATTTTCAAGGTAAATGTTGGAATAGAACTCACCAATGTCGACTGAGGTTTCTTCAATTCGACACTCCGCACTCGGTCCTGCTTGCCTGGCTTCATGAATCGTTGGAGTTATTACGGGAGTAATAGTCATTGATGTACCAACTTCTTCAGTTGGTCTCGTGACTTGTTCAACCGGACTGATCCCCGCAGTTATAGTGGCCGCTACGGTCGTCAAGCTCAAAGGAATGTTGGGCTGAGGTTGGGGAAATGACGACTGAGCTTCGATGATGGTTCCTGCCAATAGCAAGAAATCAAGACCCTCAGATTTATCAGACATCCCAACAATAATAGTTGTATTAGTCTCAACGACTGTTCCTACAATTAAATTCCCTTATGAGTAAGAGAAAACCAATAAACAAATAATTACAATAGGGGAATGAAGCACATACTTGTAGAGGAAACAACTTCGATAGTTGGTTCAGTGGCCTTGTGAGTTGGTTCGATGACTTCGCGACGGGTTTGTTCTAACAACATGTCGTCAAGTAGCCTGTCATCGGATCCTAAAGGGTCTTGTCTTGGATCAGATGCAGGTGTGACCAACGTTTCAAGGGCTGCATCTTGAAAGGTTTCTTCATCATCTGAACCCTCCATCAAAATATCAACAGAAGAGTCTAAGTGTTAAGACACGAAAAGAGAAGTTGAGAATTGACAACAGATAGGAATTAGACTTACCTCCGATAGTGGCAGCAGGCTCCGCGATCCCAGCACCTATGCTCGCTTCTTGTAATTTTTCTAAAAGAGCCAGAAGCATGGAAATAATTAGGGGAGGCACGAATTCTAGATCGATCAATTCCCAAAATCGCCATTTGAAAGGTGTACTACCAGTGTTAGATGTACCTAGGCTAGTTACCGTTGTGGATGGACCAGGTCCTACACTGGCACCTTCGCCGGTTTCAACGGATGCACCCGCTTCAACACCCGTGGGCTCCTCGACCACGGCTTCATGCACTTGTTGCGAGAAGCTGGGCCCTTTAAAAAAATCAAAATCGGGAGAAGGAGGGTTGTAGGGGGTTTCACCTTCTTCATGACCCCCTAAAATACAAAATTTGATAAGTCTGAGATCTAATAAGTAAAAGAATCAAAAGACCATGAAGGGTTGAAGCGTCACCTTCTTCGCCGATAGGCGCGTCGCCAAATGGTTCTGTCTCGGGAACCGACGGCTTAACACGTCATCTAAAATTTATTTTCTGATGCTTGGGGGTCCAGTCTCTTTTGGATCCATAAGCCTATCCTGTTCAGACTTAGCATGCGGCTCAGTTTGCAATTCAGCCTGGGCTACGGTCAGAGATCGGGTGCGAGTGATAGGGCGGACTCTCTCTTCTTCTTCCTCGGAAGATGCACCTAGAAGTTCAACAATCATTCTGTGAGGATAAGTGGGCAAAACGTTCTACCTCTTTCAAGCCTTAAGTCGACAAGTTTGATCGGCAATTGACAGATCCAACAGTTCTTTGTAAGAGGATTCTTACAAACCTATGCTGAATTCCTCTTCATCGCTACCCGCTGTTGTGCCCTCACCACCTACGATTTCTTCTTCTGAAGTCTCCTTATCAGAAGGGAAGGACTCCTCCTCTTCCTTTACAATCCACTTCCCTTTACCAGAAGGGCCAGCGGGTTCTTTACCACGTCTTTTCTGTCGCTGAATGTTTTCCTGAACTATCCTGTCAGCAATTCGGGACGCGGCTTCGGCCGCTAACTCTGTGATTAGCCTCACTTGAACGGGGTCATTAGCTATTATCAATCACCTGTAGTATAAATATGTTAGATCTAACCGACGTTCAGTACTCGAGAGACTGAACTTAGCAGCGGTACAGCCCGTTAAGTTCCATAACTAAGCCCGAGCATCGTCTACCAGTCCGCCATGAGTCCAGAGCTGTCGGTTCGGATTTCCAATATAGAATTGATCATATCTAAATTGGCGAGCGAATCGGCATGACAAGTAAGGCTCTAAGTGGCAACAATTCTTCATCCAGAAAATGAGATGGCCCAGCCTTATGTTCATTAGTCATCCGAAGCAGCCGACATCAAGGGAAGTATGATTCATCCCGGGCATCTTTTCATCAGCCAACAATCCACTATAGCAACCAAAAAATAGAAGAAAGCACGGGGAGAACACCCAACCCTTATGGATATGCAAGCTCTTCCTTGCTTCAGAGAGGCTCCACACTTTCCACTTACACCCTTCAAGCAATCGTAACAAGGGAGTGGACAAGTTCACATCTATCAAGGCCGACATCAGGTCGGGGTGGTGAAGAACCAGCCACACCATCAAATAAGTGTAAGGGAGCTCAGGTTTTGTAGTGGGGATCTTAGCGGACAGTGCATCTTCATCTTGGGTGAAGGTAGTAACTACCTGACGAAGCCCGCAATGAATGTCAGTGACCAACGCCGAAAGAAGGGATATATTTTTCCCATGGGCTAGCTGGATGACCAGGAATAATACCTCTATTGGCAGGGCATCAGTATTTCTTCAACCAAATCGTGAGGTAGCCAGCCAATAGGATCATGGGTCGGATGGGCTTCTGTGCGCACCAAAGGAAGGTCTTGAACTTGGTCCCCACAGGGAATTTACCCTCAGTACTTGTGTTGGTATAAGAGCGAACACCAGACATTTCAATCAGCTCATTGATCTCTGAAGAATTTAAATACTTCAGCCCGCAAACAGCTTCATCAGATTTATCCAGGTTCTTGAATAAATAACTCGAGAACTGCTTCAGGCTTATCTGAGAAGATTTCTTCTTTGCTATCAGGCTGACTCCTACCAGGGCTATCTGATAGTGATATGTAAGCTCCCATAAGGTGTCATATAGAGTAGGCATGCGGGCCTTCAATTGGTCTAACTCCCGGTTAGAAGGAAAGTACTCTTGATACGGCACGTCTCCTATTAGCAATCCAGAGACTTTTTGCATCTCGTGGAGGGGTAGTCTCAACTCCCCGTTCCTGGTTAGAAAAGTATTCGTGTCCGAATTATAAAGTTCTACCAGTGCAAAGAAATGGTGAACACTGATCGGCAGCCCATATTTAGTGGCGCGGACAGCTTCATACAATCCAATTGCCCTCAGGTCAGCGTCCCATCGGTTAAGAACAAAGTTCGTCATCCTGGTCCACCAGAGCTTATCTGAAGAGTGAGACCAACCATAACATATGTGACCATGAGGTGGCTCGTCTAGTCCCAGCACACCGAGATGTAATCCTATAATATAGGTCTTGTTGCTCGAGGCTGGGAGCGCTTGACTGGTGACATATCCATAGTGAACATTAGTATGTTCCTTAGTCAGGTTCCATGACATCTCTCGTGTCACCGTTTGCCTCCGCAATTTAGTCAGCGGGCGATGACGAGGGATTGTAGGGAGGTATAAATAGCCTATTGTATCCCTATATAACCACAACTCATCTTTGAGGGATACAGCAGTCGGATCTTCATCGGAGTCCCCAAATAGGTAATCCGTCTTTCTCAGAGGTTGAGTGGAATCCGTATTCTCTGCAAGTGATGCATCGGTAATTAGCTGACATAAGGTACGATGATGTCCCTTTCGCACCAATCAAGAAAATTTCTTAGGAATGTCCGAAGCAAATTGAGGAGTTGGCGGGATGAATGTTGGGTCGTCAACGGTGGCATAATGCTCACCTCTGCGCCCATCTATCTCGAAAGGGGAAAATGCAGTCGCAGGGTATTCAACTGAAACAAATAACTTGTGTTTGTTAAACACGACTGCAAGAATGTGTTAAGGCAATACAAGATGTTGAACTCATCTCACGAGTCCATGAGATAAAGTCATTACCTTGCAATTGGCGAGACGATTTCAACCGTATCACGTACACGTAGGATAATGTATATTGTCACACAAATAGCGTGACTATATACCCCGTCCTATGAAATGCGATACAACATAAAGTCGCCCCTTTATTGCCTTAAGACGCGTTTTGACCAAGCAAAACACATCAGTGAAGCGTCAACCCTCACGAAGGAGGATGTCAACTTTTCCCAATTGCCTCACCAAGGAGAACAAAGCGAGGATGCAATATGTAACATGATATGCTAATATTAAATGCACAAGCAGAAAATGATAAAAGTTTACCTACGAAAGACAAAGGCTCCCTCTCGGGTGACTCAATAGCTGAGCAACCCCTCGGGATGCGTGATCTCCTCGTCAACATAGCTAATCTGTAGTGAAGATTAACAATTCAATTAAATCAAGAATCAAGATACGTAAATGGGGAATTAAAAGGCAAAGAAAATAAATATATGAAGCTAGGGCGACAAATTCGATTCTCGACCAATACACAAGCTAAGAGTTTGGATGTTTTTCTCTCAGAAGCCAAGTTTCAACACTTATGCGAATATCGACATTAAGTCACACACACAATCATACTACAAGCAAGGCAAAAGTTTCGGCCATGCCTAAGCAATCAATAGAGTTGGTGCTTCAGTCGTGAATTTGATGTTAAAATCAAGTTCAGACAATTTCCAACAGTTCAAGGGTTTTGGCTATGCATGAATTCAAACTCAGGAATCAACTCATCGATGCCCCTTCAAAGCAAAAAAATTAATTCAGTTCTCATTCCAAATCAACTTGCATATATGCTACGGGTGGTGGAGAAAATCCAACAATCCAGCAAAGGGTTCGGTCACACCCATAACAAGAGAATCGGCCATGAGGGATTGAAGTTCGAATGGATGACTAGGCAACAATCGAAGTTCAATACAAGCCTAAGAACCAGAATCAGTCCTACCCCACTATCACAACACTGACTTGATTCTAACACAAAATCAAGGGCTAGGGAAGATCAGAGAATTTGACCAGTAGGGTTCGGTTCTTGTTCAAGGTTGAAAGCATGATTCCCACACAAAAGTTCGATTCACATCTAAGCTCGAGACCTCGGTTGCCAAACAAGACCAAATAAAAAACATAATACAAACTGGAGATCTTGACAATAAGCTTGGTCCACATTCAAACCACACATGTCAGTCAACAAACTCAATCGTCATCCAAGTGAAAGAATTGGACTCAAGTTTTAATCATTCTCCAAAATCAAAGAAATTAAACAATCATATGGAAGCTTAGAGTGCGTTTTGGGTTTACCTGAGGTAAAGAAGAAGGATGATATTCAGAAGATTTAAGAGCGTGAAGAAGAAACCTCAATTTCCTATTACATTCAAAAGGAGAATTTAGATGTTATTCAAAAATTCCACAATTTGAAATTAGGGTTTCAATCACTTCTTCATAACTAAGCATACGAGTTGGAGTTCAGTTGAAATTGAAGATAAAACTTACCTAAATCAAAGTAGAACAAGCTAAGCAAGGAAGAATCACCACGATAATGTCTCTGAACTTGGGATTTGAAGGTAATCGAAACCCTAGCTCTCTGAGTTGAGGTCTGGTCGAACTCAAAGAATTGAAGAGGGGATTTAAAGGAGCTTGGAAGAGTTTAGATCTTGGGGGAGTTATTAGAGGAGGAGAGTTCTGAGAACTTGAGGAGCTTGAGAGAAGATGAAGAGGACTTAGAAGAGAATCGGAGTTTTAAACAAGTCCCGAACCGCCTCTCATGACTGTCCTAGACACCACTTGGTGCGGGTCACACTCATGAGCTGACCCACACTCATGCGGGTCACCATGAGCTGACCCACACTCATGAGGGTCACACAGAGCTAGCCCGCAGTTATTTTTCATGGTACTTTTCCCCTTTTCATCTACTTTTGATGAATTCGAGACTTGTATTCATACTCCAATGAGTATACGAGTCTAAACTATTTTCCACCCTTGACGGGAAGTTCCTGGAGAATCTTACGTGTAATATTCTTAAGGATAACCCAGTAACCTCCAACGGGTACACGAGGCTAAAGTGATTCCCGAAACCCCCAGGAGTATATGAGTATAAACTAGTCCTTCCCGCTCTAACGCCTTAAGAGCTGAAACTGTATAGACCCCAGTAGACGTATGAGTATAAACTATGTTAACGCCGGTTAACACGTTATAATGAAAGTTAACGCCAGTCAGTGCGTTAATGATTTTTTCCAAAATAAGGCTTAGTTATGTACACACTACAACAAAGGTCGATGTCTGTCAACACGTCAATAATTCTGCCAAAACAAGGCTCAGGATGATATTTCAGATGAAAGGATTATTCTAGGGAATTCGAACGTATTCAGATGCAAATTTCCGATGAAGATGATCTGTTCAGGAGTCGGTTCAATGACAAGAACTAATTCAGATATTAACGCATCAGTCCCAGTTTGATATTTTGAAAACGGTCAGACGATGAACATAGTACCGATAGAATTTTAGCTATTCGATAAAATACTAAATAGACTGAGAGCTGAAGGAATCCAAAAAAATTGAAGATTGGGCGTATCATATCCAAAATATTTCAGACTCCTCTATAAAAGAATGAGGCTGAAACACTTTGAAAGGGGTATCTGTAGGCATTAAAAAAATACCTACAAATTCCTACAAATCGTTCGAGACTAAACGAAGATGATGAACATCATCATCCAAGTTGAGGAAGATTATCCAAACTAAAGGGGATCATCCGATGCCGAAGAGAAGTTAATGAGCGCACGAAGCGAGCTCACGAAGCATACAAGTCAACAGAACGACAATACAAGTTTGGGAAACGACAAAAAGCTAAATGAGACTCACACGCGCAGGTTACCCTATTGTGACCTGCACAAGTACGGGTCACCAAGAGGTGACCCGCATGAGTGCGGGTCATCAAGAGCCGTCCCGCACAATTAGTTCTCGAAACACGTTTTTGACGAGTTTGTTGATATTTTTTAGGATTTGTTTGTTCCAGAGCACACCAACTGACTTGATATCATATCCAAATGTGGTTAGCCCATTGTTAACTGAAGATGTGGCCAAATCCTTTATTCTCATCCAAATAATCGCATCCAATGCCCTATAAATACAAGCCTAGGGCCCCTATTTTCCGGAGCTGGAATTTTATCAAAGAGGAGGAAGTGTTGCTGAATTAGAGAGTGCATTCCACAAAATTTCAGAAAGGGTTAGCTAGATCCCGGTGACCTTCGGCATAAAGAAGGTGTAATTCGAAAGATCTGAAGCCCGTTTTCATTATTCTTTGAGATCAGACTTAGACTTGATCCCGAGAAGAGTAGTGATCTCGCTTGGTCGAGATCATTCACTTCAGCAATTACTTCCTTAGTGGAGTAAGATCTTTAAACAATCTTCTATCAACCGGATCTGATCCAAGGTGGTTCAAGGATGAACCCCGGCTCCGGCAAAGATCCTACGTAAATAATAGGCGATAAACATCTATTGTGTGTAGTTTGAAAGAAAGTTATAATAAATTTTTATTGTGTAAAAGTCTTATAAAAAGACCATTTCTTTTGAATTTATTTTAACACCCAAAGTGTAATGAATTCATCAATGAGAACAACTTTTACCCCAAACAAGCCGTGAGTGTCTCAAAAACATAGGTTCTTCGACGCAACTTCTTTTCAACTCCAGACTTTAGTTACGTCTCCTATGAGCTATAAATACCTTCGTAGGGCCATTACTGACGAGACGAAGTATTTTTGAGTAGAATAGAGCAGAGATTTAAACGTTCTAAGTAAGAGAGGGAGAGACTCTTCATCACGTGCAAGCCTTTCAAAGTTCCTACAATTCCTTAAGATTTAAGCTTTGACTTAATCTCGAGAAGAGTGATCTATCTTATTTTACTAAGATATTCACTTCTGTCTTTTGTTTCTAAAATGAAACATCGACCTTAAGTCTTCTTCATGGTTCAACTTGGATCTGTGATTTGATAGTCCACGGGCTAATGCACCCCCAGCACAAGCAAAGATCCCATGTAAGCAATGATCCAACACGATCCTACGTGTGTTTTTAGGGAACACTCTTAAGTTGATTTTGTTATAAAGAGTAGTATTACAAAGCACAAAGCTCACTCTTTCGTATTCGTTGTAATTGGTTTTTAAATCGATAAACAGTTATAATGAATTATGCAATAAAATTTGTTTCCGACGCAAATAGGTTGGTGACCACAATGGGAGCCAACGGTTTTACTACCGAGACCGTCATGTCATAGCCGATCAAGATACTATTTGAATCCACGATCAAATAAAAGTTCGACCAAGCAAAGTTTGAGGAGCATCTATCATCCTCATCTTCAAGATCTTCTTCACCTTACAAATGCAGGAAGATTTCATCTTTGAAGAAGGTTTTCCAGTCTTTAACTCCAATGAAGGCTACGGGAGAAGACACTCATCCGATTGTTGTTGAGGCTTCCCCTCACAATGCTTCTCCAGCAATCAACAAGGCCGGAACTTCTGCTCACAATGGTCCACCGGCATTGACGAAGAAGGCTCATCAGAGACAATATCAGTGCCGTGTTCGTCAAATGGCTAAAGCCTTGGAACAAGTCGATGGAGTTTGCTACTACACGGATCTAGAGTCAAGAAAATAATGAGTGGTCCAGTTGCCTCAACGACAAACCACTCGTATTTCTGCTAAGTTAACGGCGGAGGAATGGGTTCTCGTCAAAAGAGCCTGTTTCGACCCTTAAAGAATGCAGTCAAAAGCGTCATGTGAACGCCGCTCGTGCTCGTGCCCCTGTGCAACAAATGCAAGAAGGGAAGAAGGAAATGGCTTCTAAAGAATCGCAGAGAACTCGCAAAGTTTGGACCCTAAAATCTGAACTTGTGCAAAAATTAGAATCGCGGGATACTTCCTTCATCCGAGACACTTGCGAGTGTCTCGGACAAAGGGACCTTATCCGAGACACTAGCAGTTGTCTCGAAAAAGGAAGTTATATCCAAGACACATGCACGTGTCTCGGATAAAGGTCATCTCCCGAGGGCTCTCCTTTGACTCCGTCGACATCTGCTCCTTGCTCGTCTGTTGCAACCACATCTGTTACACCACCAGTGAAGCCATGGGTCAATCCTGATATGTCAAAATTCAAGATCATAATGGCGGATCGCCTTGGTCCTTTGCACGAGGATCGAGGCAAAGCTCCAGTCAAAGAACACTTGGGTCCGGTGAATAAATCCCAAGTGACTTCTCACGCAGGGGGTTGTTCGTGTCCTCCCACCAAGTCAAAGCAATCCCAGGAAGAGAAAATTCCAATTTCCACACGCTTGGGAGTTTGTCTCGGAACTCAGGAGCCCATTAAGATTTTGCACCTGCAGGGGGATAGTTCTAAACGTGTGACTCCTGATATGATCTTGGATAGCTCAAAGGTGACAGCAAGTCAGCTTGAGAATGTCAACAAGGCCTAACCACACCAACAGTCGATAGGTTGCTCCAGTCATCTTACCGACAAGTTGTACTATCAGGCTAGAAGTAAGAATAAGTCTCGAAAGAGAAATGTTCGAGAAACAAGTCCTCATTATGCATGTGAGAGGCTCATCAAAGCAGTGTTGTCTGAATATAGTTGCTCCAAAAACTCACCACCAATAGTCTCTATATTCCAAAGACTTTCTACTGAAATGTCAAGGCCCAAGCCGAGGCATTTTCACAAGAGAAGATTTGACGTTCAAGATAATGAGCTTCCAAAGGTCACCATTAACATGACGGAGAGAAGGAAACGACATTCAACCAACCCTAACCCTGATTTTTCTCCAGGAAGGAGAGTTGATCAGGGCCTCTCTCAAAGAGTGTCACGGCTACAGCCAAGGGCCACTGGACGTAGAGATTATAGAAGAATGCATGAAGGGTTGTCTTCAGATGAGGAGCTCTTAGATACTTTCTCTGTAGTTGCCTCCGATGACACAATATCTAGTGTAGGACAGGCTAGAGAGGCATTCACTATTACACCTGATCAATTAGCTTAAATGCTGCAAGTAGCTCTGGCTAAGCAGTGAGAAGAAATCAGAGCTGAGATGAGAATGGAAATAGAGTTGACTATGCAACAGATGAGAGAATTACAAACTCAACAATCTCCTCAACAGCCTGAATCGAGTCAACAGGCTGAGTCTAGCCAGCATAACACTACGCCAATTTGAACGAATATAGTCGATAGTGATTCAGAAGTAGATGAGCACATCATGACTAATCATTCCCCCAATGATAATATCGCTGGGGGTGGTCCAGTTGAACCTCCTCAACACCCCCGAAGAAAAGTATGAGAGAGGACAAAAAGATGAAAGAGCTAGAGAAACAAAGTCAATGCTTTGATATCAGTTCAAGAAGTAAAGAAAACGGGTATTCCATGCCCATATCCGAGGGAGTGAGAGCCAATTCCATAACCGCCAAAATTCAGTCTGATTAATTTTACTCCATTTGACGGGAAAGGGTCACCCACTCAACACTTAATTTATTTCAAGTCTTATTTGGGTGTAATATCTGGAAACAAAGCTTTGATGGTCTGGTTATTCGTTAGCACCCTTCGTGGGGCTGCTTTTGATTGGTACTGATGTCTCAAGCCTAGAAGTATTAACAGTTGGGATGATAGGGAAAGCTTATTCCTCACCAATTTCTTCGATGATGACACCAAAGTATCAATTGGAACTTTACTGGATGAGAAGCAAAAAGATGGAG